ATGGGCCTGTTCTTTTAGATCGCACAATGGCATGCTTTTTCTGCTGCAGGTATCCACGAAGGGTGGAAAGGGGTTTTCAGTGGAAAGGGTGTGTAGGGTGGGAGGGTATTTCTGCAAAGGAGCTTTTGATGCAGGTACCGGACTCTAATTATAACGGCCATTGCCACCGGTAAACTGAAAATGTCAAAAATGTCCTGGTGAGAGTATCACCCCCTTCTCTTTGACTGAAAATGTCAAAAATGTCCTCAGGCTGGTGAGAGGGAGTATCACCCCCTTCTCTTTGTGTTGTTCAGTCCTCAATTATCGTATTTCCGGGGGACAAGTCCCACTAGCAGCGTTGAGTTTCCTCAACGCCTGAATCTGGGCGTGTTTGTGGAGATGTGCGGTTGAGGAAACTCAATGCCATTTCTGCACATCTCCTCAAACATGCCCAGATTCAGGCGTCGAGGAAACTCAATGCTGCTAATGGGACTTTTGGCCCCGGGAGTTGTAGTGTGTGTGCGTTATGACTTTTTGTTGAGAATGTAATTTATTTATTTTTTTGAAAAATGGGTGTTTTTCTTTTTTCCAAGTCAGTTGGCCGAGCACGGTATACTCGTAGACCTGTTAAACCACCAGAGTACGTCCTAAAGTTGTGCGCGTTAACAAGCCACAATTTTTGGAAATGTACGGGCCACTACATGAGTGCCCAGACTCATCCGACTAGAAATGTTTCTGGCCTATTTTTTTCCCCACGGCGGATAGCTGGGCCAAGTACTGGTGGTTTAAACAACCACTAGGTTTCCCCAGCTAAAAAAATTGAAGTCGCGGCATGCATGCTTATGCTTATGCTTTTGACTCTCGGGAAGTACCAGGGCGCTGTCTCACAGAACATCCGTCCAGGCAAAAGGGGTTGTTGCATGCAAGGCCCTTTTTTCTTTGTCTGGATGGATGTCCAGCGAAATGGCACTCAGGCAAAACGGCGCCCGGATACTTCCGAAGAGGGTTGCGGCAGCACGCACGATGGGACTTCGATTTTCTGGCTGGGAAACGTACTCAGTCTGGTGGCCAACCCCATTTGTACAAAGCTACATGCCAACGCCGCGAGCCCCCAACTGGGCTGTTTCATAGTCGCCTGCAGAGGACACGACTGCCCTGGGCCCCGGGCCCAAAGAGGTGTGCTCTGTTCTGCTAACACTGGTTAGATCCTGACCGCTCACACCGGAAAGCGCAAGATCCTGACCGCTCACACTGTAAGTGCCCGGCCACTTATACCCGCAAAAGCGATTAGCTTGGTGAACCGAGTATCTTGCCCAGCGCCGTCCTGCAATGCGGACAATGCGGACCCTGGTCAAAGCCGCGGGGACTCTGTGTTGTGCTCAATCTGGTGGCGTAGCTTTAAGGCCGGAGGCACTCAGTAGGCCTGTGCCATGTAACCAATCCTCTTTTCTTTTTTTTTGTTCCTCCTCATGCCAAGAGGTGTATGTAAAATGGCGGAAATTATTTAACAACGCACGGGTGAGGCTGGTGGTTTGATTTTAGTATGAACATTGTTATTGCGAGTATTGATATGAATTGTGACCACGGAAAGCGTGCTTCATCTTTGATGCTCATTTCATCCGTTTTCGGTTGTCTTAAACCACCAGTACTTTTTGCAGCCATTTTTCTCCGACACGGTTGTGCGCCCTCGGACTTCCGGGAGTTGGCCTGCAAGAGCAATGGCCGGTTGTGCCAGCCAAAACAGCCCTCACAGTGGCTTGTTTGTTTTGGTGAGTTGGGGGGAATCTGCTCCGGCAAGAGGAAGCCTCCAGCCGTGCACACACCCATGGTTTGCTGTGATGAACCAGCTTGCCGTGCATGGATAGACTCGTGCAAAATGACCCATGGCGGCAGCGCAGCAATGGCCGGCACCGGTATATGGCTGAACGCCGTGGCGGATCAATACAAGAAAAACAAACTTGCAGAAGATGAGTAAGGCTACCTACTCCAATATTTTACCTTGAGTTCCTTTTCCGGTGCAAAAGAATCATTTGAGAGGTCACTCACTACCTTTCACAGGCAAACTTGAAGTGGTGAGGGGTAATCGGGGAGGCACAGCGACTGGCCACTCAGATGATGCTCGGTCCCTCTGCCACCGGTTGTCCCCTGGCCGGCATCCCCCGTTGGGGGCTCCCTGAAGGCAATAAATAAAGGCCACCCTGGGMTGAAAAGGCCACCCGATGTCAGATTAGACACAATATCGAATTTACCTGGGCTGGTTAGTCTGATGATAATACCTCAAGGCCATTGCCAATGTGAGGCAGACCGCATATTCTTTGATGATCAGGGCTACAGGACCAAAGTGGGATGGCGGCGCCAGCCAAACAAAGAAACAAACAAAGAAACAAAGAAACAAACAAAGAAACAATTTTTTTTGCCGGTGCATAGGCAAAGGTAGGTGGGCAGTTAGTTTCCGGTTTGATGAAAAAGAGGCTTGGAGGTAGTTGTGATGTAAACTGTGAATACTAAATACGCGTATAGATGAAAGTGGAGGGGGGAAAATAGTGGGGAAAAAAAGGGAAAAGAAAAGTGGGGCCGTATGCAAGCTGCTGCAACTTTTGGGGTTTAGGACTTTGGAGGACCAGATTGGCTAGAGCTGCCGGTCAGAAAGCTAAAAAATGGAATATAATAGTTTTTTTCGTTCAGGCTGCTATGAGATAGGTTTCAGCAGGGTCATGAGATCTGGATTTAGAAAAAATTGCAGGCCACATATACTTTATAACGAACTTGACAGACTATTCACCTATTTGGCTTTTTTCTTTTTTTGGGGGGGGGAGGGGAGGAGGGTGAATGGGGGTGTGGGGGAGAGATCGCAGCCATGGATGGACAGAAAATCTATGAAAAGGTGACCTTTCGAGCACACCAGGCCCATCTGAAAAAAAATGACATTTCGGACTCAGATCCGGGACCTGGGAACCCACTGGGCCACTGGTTCCAATTTCAAAGAGAAGTGTTCGGGACCGAGGCTGAGGGCCCTTCTCCACTGCATATCATTCCCCACGTATCTTCAGCAGATAATGGTCCAAGTACATTCAAAATGTCACCCCGGATGTCGAATGGTCACTGGAGAGTGGCCCCTTCCGCAAAGAGCAAGCAAGATTTTCCTGTGAAATGATAATTCGAGGAATGTGGGACCGCTCCTAGAAATAGCCATCCATTCTGCGCAGGGCAGATCCGCCCCTTGTCCCGACACAAAGTTTTGATGAGTTTTTTTTTTTTTTCCAATAATGACAACATGGTACAAGAAAAGATTGTCCCCACCTAGACAACGGGCTAAGGTAAAAAAACCACCCATGAACTGTTGGTATACCGACCAAAGCTCGAATCCAGATGCAATTAGTA